ATTGGCGGGCGCTCTGGTGTAGTTTGCACATTCTTTCCTACTTGTATCAAATATCTATTGTCCTTATCCCTCCTTCCTTTTTGCGTTTTTTACTGTCTTGTAACACTGCTAATCTTCAGCACTTATATGACATAATTGTGTTGCAAGTGCGGAAAACTTTTTCTTGTTGCTTGCATTTAGGTCTGAAAATCCGCTTAATGGTAAAGTTTGATATTGTACCTTGCCTCAGATATACCCCCCCCCCTCCAAGCAACAACCACAAAATAGTAATAACATAACACCCCTAAAAGGATTACAACATTGCACTATTGGAGATAATAGCCTCCTCTTGAATCTGCAAAATTGCAATACATGTCTTTACGTATTGCAAAGTTCTTGCACAGACGATGTTCGAAATCAAGCCCATTTGGCGATCCCTTTACCTGAATAACAACAATCTCCCTCCCCATAAAACACTGATGTTAACTGTACTTTGCTCTCTTATGGTATGAACTTAAAAGTACTGTTTTTCTTTAATTGGCTGTCCTTTTGACAAATAGTCTTATTCTTACAAAAACTGCAGCATACAATCATGGGGAAGATGGTAAGAGAGAGAGAGAGAGAGAGAGAGAGAGAGAGAGAGAGAGAGAGAGAGAGAGAGAGAGAGAGAGAGAGAGAGAGAGAGAGAGAAAGCGAAATGGGTTTAGAGATGTTTATGTTTTTCTTTTTGTAAGTGTTTCAAGTCAGGGGTGAGTGTGGGGGAGGGGGTGGGGGTGTTGTATCAAGAAATATGCCATTCATTTTAACAAGCGTAGGCTGTTACTACTACAATGTAAATCAAATCATTATATTGCATTTTCAGACACAGAATAAAAGACTGAACAAAAAGTCCATAATGACTGATGATTTAATCTCTGTCTCAGTCTACAGACTGAAAAACGACAGGTGAATCATTAAGCCGTTGACAATAGGTACACGTTCGTGGCTTATTTGTAATAGTCTTTAGCTTCAGGCTTCAATGGTTCTTCAAAGTAGGAAAGGTACCTCACCGACCAAAGTCTGCTTATCTTAGGGGCCATTACGTGGTTTACTGAAAGAGAAAACAAACCAACGAGAATGCAAGTATAGTGTACACGATGTGAACACCTTAACAAGAACGTTGTTGAACTCCGTCGTTTTTATGTGGCTCTTATTTCTCTCCTGCGGGCCTTTGAGTGGGGAGTTGTGTAAGGTTAGCTGGGGAGCAGGTCTGTGTCATGTTTACCTGTGTCCCTAAGCATGTAGGTGCGTAATGACCGCTGGTCATTCAGTTGACATCAGGCATTTTTCAGTAACTGCTCTCTTTTCGTCTCTCATACCACTCCCTTCCCCACCTCATCACCCCGCCTTTCCTTCACCTTCCTTCTCCCCTGTGTGTGTGTGTGTATGTGTGTGTGTGTGTGTGTGTGTGTGTGTGTGTGTGTGTGTGTGTGTGTGTGTGTGTGTGCGCGTGTGTGTGTGTACGTGTAGGTATGTGGAAGTGTTTGAGGGTGATTATGTTTGTGCGTGCTTGTATAATAATATACATGTTTGTGTGCGCGTGCGCGATCAAGTACTAGTAACCTTTTCTAAAATTCTCTACCCTACTACCCCACCCCCGGTTGCCCTTTTTCTCTTTATTCTGCTTGGATACTTTATTCCTTTTCTTCCTAGTTATAGAAGTTGGATAGAAACAGTAGATCCCACAAAAAACAAACAGTTTCTATGGGGGAATAAACTACGCCATGCAGCAATGGATATAATTTACCTCATGCTGTCTTTGTTTCAGTCTTCTTTTTGCTCACTCCTTTCCTGTCTGTCTGTCTGTCTGTCTGTCTGTCTGTCTGTCTGTCTGTCTGTCTGTCTGTCTATCTGTCTGTCTGTCTGTCTGTCTGTCTGTCTGTCTGTCTTACTCTCCAGTGCCTTGCGTGCCCGCAGGCGCGCACGCGTGTATGTGTGTATGTGTGTATATGTGTGTCTGTCTGTATGTGTGTATGTATATGTGTGTATGTGTGTATTTGCTGGTCAAAATTTCAAAGTTTATCGCTCCCTCTTATCTGTATCCTATATTCCTCTCCCCCGTCCTGTTTTCCCCTCTCCCCACCACTCGGTCCTGTCTGTCCGCTACAGTACACTTACGTGGGAACACGAGCGGTCCTCCCCCGTGGACATTAAATCATTTTACATGACTAATGACGTCCCACGTAACTAAGACTAACCGCAGACGGAGGAAGGTGGATTCATTTTGTGTTTGTATTTTCGACCTTCTTCTACGAGTCTGAATATGCCTCTGCTCTATAACTGTTAAACAATGCTGAGTGCGTAAAGAGCCTCGAATAATAAAACAGAAGATCTATGTTTTCTGCTGAGCTGTTTCTTTACAGAATCCGGGTTAGTGCTGACTGGCAGGTTCAAAGCAGCCCGTCTCCTGAAAGCAAGATTTGAATATGGAGGTGAAAAACGATGTGTACATTAAAATTTGCAGTCTAGAAGGGAAGAAAGAGGGGGGGGGGGGGTGAGTTAAAATGTGCAGTCTAGAAGGGAAGAAGGGGGGGAGGGTGAGTTGGAAGAACTGACTATTACTGGTTCTTCGTTTGGTATGGTATTAGTTGGTGTCTTCAAGTAAGTACGTCTGTCGTTGATCGGCCTTTATATATTATGGCGTGATGGTCAAGCTTTTCAATGCGGCTCATAAAAGGCGTGACTTCGATTCATGGCATCTGGTATCTCCTTATTCTGCTGGAATGCTCTATTTCTTTTCACCCAGGTTGTGGAGGCAGGATCGAAGCAACTGACACCTCCCTCCCCCTCTCCCCCCCCCCCC